ATAAAAAAAATAATAAATCCTGGAGACTGAATTCACATAAGGGGACTTAGCCTCTTGAAGCCCCACCCTATTTACGCCTATGCTCATAAGTTATGTGATGTTCGTCCATCTATTTTTCTTCTTTGCTTATTCCGTATTTGCAATTACGCATACTCTTATTTATACCGTACGCTATATATATATATATATATGAGTACACGGGCGCCAAATTTTTAATTTTCATGGGGTGCCCAAAAACCTTAATTATTTAACTTGTACCCAAATAAAAATCCTAATCATATAATAAAAATAAATAAAAAAAAACAACAATACATTACTTGTTTATAGACATAATTTTTAAACATTTGTTGACCAAACGCCGACTAATTACTACCAAGTGCAGACTACTCCACGCACTATACATTATTATTAATTATTATACTTAATTATTGTTAATTATTTTATGATTATTACGTAGCTACTACATATGATATAAACGGACGGTGACAGTACGACCAAAATAACTAGAAAACCAAAAACATATATATTGATTAAAAAAGATTATTTCTACATGACGTATAATATTAATGTATTAAATATTTATATGGTTTATTTATTTTAAGATATGTTTAAGCATCGCAGCACCCCAATAGTCGGCGCCCATGTATATATATATAAGAAAATAGCTTTGGTTCAGGTATGTTATACTCACATCGTCAATATTGTTTAAAACGTTTAAATTTATGTTTAAAACATGCTTTTTATTAAAATATTTTAAACTCATTTTCAAATAATTTAATGTTAAAAATATGGGATATGTATTATTCATCTAGGAATTTAGGAATTGCAATTTGTTTGCTAATTGTTTGAATAAAAAATTGTAGATAAGGTTATTTGATTCTTGGTTTATGATACAACGTAATTTTAACATTTTCTCCGGGCGTTGAAATGTCGAGTTCCGTCCCTGGTGATATGAGATATGAGTAACAAACTGCTAGTAGTTACACAACGATATTAGTAACTGATAAATTGATAAACGAAGACGATAATTTTGACCGTGTAGCCGCAACGCATCGCTGTGTAGGTTTACCGCAACGTGTATTGATCCACCGAATAGATAGAATATTAGATAATGAAAATTATACTATCAGCAAGGATATATAGGGTCTAGGATAGACCTGGTCTATATATTCACCTTGGCTATCAGCAATTATACATTGTACAATATAATTGATATGAAATTTATCATCGCTAGTGAGATGTGTGAGCTGTTGCCCTGTGCTTTGGAGCTTCATCATATAGATCGGGAATTACTTGTTTTTAAACCTTTTTAAAACAGTTCTAAAAATATTAAAACAGTTTAAAACAATTAAATAAAAACATGAAATTTTAAAAAGAAATAAAAAATCAATTTTAAAAAAAACAAAATTTTATTTTGTTTTAAAAAAAAAAAAAAACACAAAATATAACAACTCTGCCCATACACATATTTATTTATTTGAAAAGGTGAGTTCATATTTTATTATTGATCTATATTTCTTTGTGTCAATGACATTTCGATTTTGCCTTTTTCTAGCAGATCCAATACAACAATAATATATTATTATATAGTATAGCGTCTATATCTATACCATAATGGAACATTGTTTAAAATTTAATTTAAAAATATTTTGAAAACACAAAGAAAATAATTTTAATATTTACATCCATATACTAGTATGTATACCATAGAGATGAGTGATCCACCCAAGACAGAATAAAGATATTTTTGAACATGCATCATTTATGATAACGACAAGTAAAAATGAGAACATTTTGTAAAAAAGGATTTAAAAATACACTGTGGATTTATGGATTTATTTTGAAACGTGTAAATATATTTTTAAATAACAATGTGTATCATTGCTTTGAATGCGAACCACAGTGTAATAAACTTAGATTAAAAATAATGGTTTATAGAGTTGACAAAAAAATGTTTGGGCCTGAAATATAAATCTAATAAGTTAGGCAGTCGCGTATTTAGGCCGGGACTACCAGAGCCCCAAGGTATGTTCAAGTCAGGGAGGGAAGGCACTGGACCTTTATTATTACATAAAAAAATATTGAACATTTTTTTTTTTTTTAATTATATTTATATAGAAAATAATTAGATCTGAAATACGAAACTAAAAAAAAAAAAATGTAGTACAGCGGTAGCGTTCATTATCTTGTATATTATTATCTAATAATATACGTCACTGGTTTTTCAAACGGTTATAAGTTATAAAGATAAATTAATAATCATTGTACAGTGTACATAGTAATTACAGCACAGCTATTTTAAAAATACTGTTTCTGAAGCAGCCACTATAATTTTGTTTTGCAGTTCTATTATCTATATTATGATTTGTACGTCGTACGTCGTTGTCTATTTAAAAAGATATTAGAAATTATTACTTGAACTGTGTTGGTTATAATATTTCCCAAATTATGTTTGTTGAATTTCCGTAGAATGAATAACTATGTTTCTTGCATGGAAAAGATATCAACTAAATAATTTTAAGCGGGAATATTATAGTTATATCAACCATATTTTAGTTGAATTTACTAAATTTCCATCGAATAAATTAACGAAATCAACTAATTATAATTAGTTAAAATATTTTTGAAACTGTAAAATGTAACAAAATTATGTAACCAAATAAAAATTTTACCATGGTATCCATACAACGAGAAATAGACGTTAGGGGCTATATAAATCAGTGACATTGAAGTTTTAAATATTAGTCGGGTGAAAAATATTAAAAAAGATTACAATATCTAAATATCGACTCCAATGGCGTACCCGGGAGGGAGAACAGTAGTTTTTAGCAAGAAAATATTGTTATTTCGTAATGAAGCTTTCACACGGTTTGGCAGCCAAACCTGAGCCCGATATGAAGCATCTCCATAGTAAATTTTCAAATGATGACAGGCCAAGGTCCGACGACAAGGGTTCGAAGCCACTGATACAAATAGGTATAGTAATACGTATACATATATTGTATAACCGTAGGATACATAGTTGTTTATTATTGGCTGAAAATGAAGACATTCGATAACATAACTGGAAAAATCCGTCTTTGTCTACTTACAATTGTTCTACACGACCGCCGCATAGACGACCGTACTTCTTCAAATATATATATATATATATATATATATGCTTATCGATTAATTCTCATGAAAAATTCTTCGATACAATCGTAATAATAATAATAATCAATTCCAAAATTTTGATACAAATATAACACCTTAATAACCTTAAACACGGCCAATGACCATCACATTCGAGGCCTTATAATTATAATAAAAAAAAGAATATACAACACCGTCATTTGTTATGTATATAGTATTCACATTAATGCTGTAGCAAGAAATAACTAATAACAATGTATACGGAATTGAACGCGAAGTGACTTTTTTTTTCCTCCGTGGTTTAGAACAAATTGCTTTGTAATTATAACATTTAATTTATGTACTATTAACAGATTAAAAAAAAACATATTTAACATTCATTTTTTGTCGCTTTTAATTTTATCACAACGTTTTTAGTACTATTTTTGGTTAGAAAAGACAAGTTTTTTTTCATGTTAAATGACACTTTATAAAAAAATAATTTAAATTCGAAAAATTATTTAAACGTATTATTAATGTGCATTTGGTCGTGGATTTTGTGGTTTAATGATCCATGAATAAAGACCTTTTAGTTGTAATGATTTTACAGATGAAATCTTAAAAATAATGATCTATATTTAATAAAATTGCAACTTTTTTGTAATTTTACCTTCCTTGAGTTTTAATTTGATTTTTATGTTTTCTTTAAAAAAAAAAAATATTTCGTTAATGGCTTAAAATCCGTTTGTGCAAAAACTTAATTTTACAATAGAAACAAAAAAACTTATACATAAATGTATTATTATTATTATTTTATTACATTAGAGAATACTCATTAGGTATTCATGAAATAATAATTATTATTAAAAAAAAAAAATGTTGACTGTTGTCCCAGGTGCGTTTATTTTGCAGACATCTTGTTAACACCAGGTCATTTCGCCATCCGTTTTTCCTGCTCACGGTCGCGTTACTCTATAGACGCCCGGCTTTAGACGGCACGTATCCGCTGACGCAATCACTCACGACTTTTTCATGCTGGCGGCCATAGGGCCGCGGAACTCATCTAGACTGGAAACGTCGGAACACTCACTGCAGCGGGATAACAAAAACGACAGTAATTAATTTATTTTTAAGTTAATTTTTTAATTATAATTTTCGACAAAAAAAAAAAAGAAGAACACAGTGATGTTTATTTTTTATTTCGGCAGGGATGCGAAATTGGTATTTTTCATCAGACAGAGCGCATATACAGTTTTCATTGCAAGTCAAGACCTGGGTATTTAAAAATCGTACGAAAGCGGGTTTCATGTGTGCAAGATTATTTTCGTGTTCAGGGAAATATCGTTTTACTGCGAATTTCGCACACAATAGATTGACTTTCCATGTCGACAGCACGTTTTATTTAAATCGTCGACTAATACCCGCTGATTCCAGTCACGTATCGTTTCCGGTGATCTTTTTTTCCGACGGCGTTTTGCGTTTCTGATCCGATTGTTTCGAGCGCATTCGAAATCCGAAAGCTACGCTGATGTTCATAACACCCTACTGGGGCGCTATAGATGTTTATAAGCATTTAGAGTCAGTGTTCGACTAGAGGGGGAACGCAGGGAGTACCCCAACTAATTTTCAGAAATTTTAGCGTCCCCCTACTATTATTACGTTATAATTATAACGCTTAACAAGCTTTGGGGACGCTCTTTTTTTTTCTTTTAAAGTTAATAGAGTTCATCTTCTTTCATTTTGCCAAGTCGAGCACTGTTTATAGTGCCTTAACGCTACGGGAAGAGTCGGTCCGCGTAAATTCAATCCGGTCCCATGACGTCGAACGATATTTCGCACCGTCCGTGGTGGACGCACTGCGACACGTTTCCCGTCCGGTGACGAACTTTGCGTGGACGGCAAGCATCGATCACTGTTGTAATTATAAAAAATAACGGTGATAATAATAATAGTAGCAGTTACTCGTCGAATATAAATAAACGCGATCGACGAACGATATAATAATATTTTTACGTCCGACGGGTCACACGCTATCGGGAACGGGGCAGACCCGATCAGCTGCGGTTGGTGATAATGGATTCTGTTCGATAATGACGTTATTGCGTGCGAAATGATACCGTTGTTGTTGTTTTGATTATACGTATATATTTTTTTTTTTGTTGTTCCATCGAAAAACAGTACGATCGTCGCTAATCATCACTGGACACTGATTTCGGCCGCCAACAGATCTCCGTGTCGTGGCCGCCGTATCCGAACGGACAGCGGATCGTAAGTCGCGCGATAATTTACTTACCCACGGTATATCGCGTAGGCGTGGCTGTACACGGTGTAAGCGGTTCCGCGGACGAATTTAATTCGTCATGTACTCGTCGTAGCGGCCGTACGACCGAGCACCAACGGCCACCGATGGCGATGGCCGAGTGTCCGATTGCCCAGATCAACGAGGACGACGACGACACGCAGGACCGCGCGAGAATCGAACTCCAAGGGTACCTGAACAAATGGACCAACTTTTTGCACGGCTGGCAAAAACGCTATTTCGTCCTGAAGAATGGCACACTGTTGTATTTCAAGTCCCAGTCGGAGACCGAGTGTGGGTGTCGAGGCGCAATCAGTCTGTTGAAAGCGACCGTCAAGGTCTGACAACATACAATAATGTCACTTGTACGGTGGCACTTAAAACAATGTCGTTTGATCAATTTTTTTTCTCCTTACTGCAGGTGCATGAAGTTGATGATTGCCGTTTCGATGTGTCGTTAAACGACTGTGCCTGGTATCTGCGGGCCGACACTTCGGCTACAAAAAATCACTGGATCGACGTCATAGATTCGTTCAAAGCTGAATCAGGATACGGCAGTGAGAATAATCTAAAACGCAATGGCAGTTCTCTTTCCTTACTGTCTAGCAATTTGTCAACCATGTCACCAGTATTTAAAAAAAATAAAGGCCTGCAAGATAAACTAAATGAACTTGTAACATTTAGGGGGATATTAATCAACCAGATCGATCGACTTCAAATGTATTTTGATACATGTTTAGCAGAATTCGCTTCTTCAAATGGTAATTATAAATTTACTCATAAAATGTAAATATAGGTATTATATAACATTGATTAATCATGATTGAATACCAAACAATTGTACATATTCTCTATTATATTACAATATGAGAATAATTTTACTTTTAAAACAAATACTAAACAAAATTAATAATTGTTTGATGATATAATGTGTATAGTGAATTATGATTAAACATGTTAAATTTGAATAATATTGACTAATTTTTTTATTTTTGAATTGTCAAAGTTTATATTTCTTATTATTATATTAATTTAAACCTTAGTATACCTAGTACCTATTACCACATTCTTTTATTTTACTATCATTTTGTAAACACAGTAGTTTTAATGAAAGCTTAGAATCTTAATACTTTTAAAGAATTATTTTTTTGCCTTGATTTTTAGCTTTAGGTACTTATTTCATCTTTGTATTATAACTCTAAAAGTTAGATGACTGAATAATGTATCTTAAAACAATCTTAACAATTTTGTTGTATTCCTATTTTAGTAATCTATTTATGTAATTGTAGATTATATTGACCTACATTTAAAATTAAGCACCTTAAATTTATAAAATAAAACAAATTATCTGATCAGGTGAATGGCAAAACAAATGATACATTTTAAAACAGTAATTTTCTGAATTTGTTACTAACCAAATTAATATTAAGATATTTATTTTAAATTAAATTAATTTTACTTATTTATCACTAAAAGTATTACAGCTGAAGTAGCTTTTTATCTTTATTTTATATGTTATTAGATACATATCTTGTTTTTGAAACTAAGTATTTATGCTCATCATAAACTGTGTACTGATTTTATATATTGAATAAAAAAATTATTAAAAAACTTACTACTAACTAACTAACTTTTCCTAACTAAAAATTTGACTATAGTAAAGTATTTTCTATGTTCCTATGTGATAGCGATATTGTCATTGTATTTATATTTTAGAATATCTAACATCACTATTTACTGTTTAGTGTTTATGCCAATAAAACAAAAAGTCTTGTGAATTTAATCTAACCTGTAACTTATGTATATATTGTCTCCATTATTGTAATAGGTGATATAACACAATTGATTACACATAATGAAAATAGTGGTTCCTAGATTAATATTAAATTTAAATACAAATTAAAACATTTAAAGAAAAGAATATTTCAAATTAAATATATTATTATTTTTGTTGATTATTGTCTAATAAAGAAGTTACAACAGTATTAGGTTATATAGCATAAAGTATGTAAAATAATATTTTAATTAATTGTATTAAGCAAATGAGCTATAAATAGATTTATTAGGACTATTTTTGAGTATTATAAAATAAAAAATGTTTTTTTGAAAAATTACTATTTGTCAATCCTGGAAAAGTTAACAAAATTTTTCAACTTATAAATTTGTATTAATCGATATAAGAAAATGTAACTCAAGTTAAAAGGTAAAAGTTACTTTTTTTTTAATTAATTTGTAAAAGTTACTAGTTAATAAGAAAAAAAATTAGCATAACTTAATTAAAAATAAGTTATTTTTTTCACATAAAATTAATTATAATGCTTTTTATTAAAGTTTAAGAAATAACATAATATAATATAGGTCCCGCTAAAACAAATTTATGTTATTATATTAATTACTGTAGGTTACTTTCATATCTAAATCAATTACGAAATCTAACAAAATAGTTCAATTATTTTAATGTATTTTTTACCTACACATTTTTATAGAATTATAAAAATACTTTTTAATTTTACTTCGGTTATTTTAAATCTATGGGTCTTCAATTAAGAAAAAAATAACTTAACGGAACTAGAATATAAATCAACTTTTTAAGTATGAAGTTACTTTTAAAAAAAAAAAAAAAAAAAAATGTCAATTTAATAATCAGTTTAGTAATTATTTTTTAAAAAAAAGTTACTTATTAAGTAACTTTAACTTTTTAACTCATTAATGCCTAGCCTTGCGATTTTTAATTAAATTAATGCATTTGAATTTTACTTTTGAAGTACATTACTTCCGAGATTACTTTAAAGTATAAGTAATACTTTCAAAGAAATAATATACCTTTTGTTTCTGTTTGGAACAAAATATTTAAATAAAAACTTGCTGTTATTTATTAATAAACAATTAATCTTTTTTTTGATTAAATATTATAATGTTGACTGCAGATATTCAATAATTGAATGAGTAATAATTATTGTAATTTTATATTTGTAATATTTAAAGATATTACTATTGAACATTAATAAAACAATACCATATGTAATGTTATCTCATATTAACATAGGGTAGGTATGAAGTGTATAGCTTAGTCATATTTATACACTTGTATTTACAAATTATTTTCTGTTAACTTATATACTTTAGTATGATTGCCAAACTAAATCAGCAAAATATTAATTTTTATTGTATAGCAACTAGTAACTATTGAAATTTATACAAGTTGGTTTTTATTTTAAAATATAATCTTACCTAGTTTTCTATTTTATTTTATTTTTGTTGTTTAAAAATTCCAGTTTTAACTACCTATTGATTGTACATATTTTTGAACACAAATAAATCCTTTATCATTAAAAAAAATTGATAATTCAATATTATTATATATGATGAATAGATAATTAATAAATTAACCTTTTTCAGTTTTTAATACTATGTGTTATTGTATATACTCAATAATCATTATTAAATGTTTTTATTTTTTTATTTCACATTAGAAATTTTTAATTTTTGAACATTTTTATTTTTCTATTTAACTTTATAATAAATTAATTTTTACATTTAATTTGATTCAATGTAATATATTTTAATAATTTTTGAACTTTAATATTTCATAAACAATTAATCCAAGTAATATATACAACTTATTAATTATAATAATTTAATGATTCATGGTTTATTTTATTTTACGTTTGACCAATTACATACAAACGTAATAGTTAGTCATTAAATGGATTTATACAAAATATATATATATATATATATCAGGACATTAGTTGATAGTTATTTACTAACACAACAATGAGGGTTATAGTTGAAAAGGATAAATGCATTTTTAATGTTGATTTAGCATTAAATCATTATTATTAATCATTATTCTCAATAAACTGGCCATAATATTTTAAAAGTATCATCAATAAAATATTCTAAGTATAATTTACAACTATTGTAAAGATTGCATTTAATTTCAAATTTGCAGTAACTTGCCTAACAGCATGCATACTATGAGTAATTAGATATTGTTAATATTATTTATGTATTGTTTTTCTTAATTACATATTTATATTCTAATTATATACTTTTATTATTTATTTATAATTGTCGTCCACTGAAAAACCTATTAAATTGTTGTTTAAAGGTAAAATAATCATGACCTACATGTAATAATAATTATAATTAAATATATGTATAATATATTTTTATTTTATGATTATTATATAATAATAGTATTATGTAGGTACAGTGCAATAAAATAGTTTTTTTGCATTAGCTTCAGTTTCTTAGTTAATTAATGTTTTATTGAATGAAAAAAAAAACCATCAAATCACGATTGTTCAATAGTAAAGATAAAGTAAATAATAATATTTGCTATAATTAAATATATAATAAAAATAAATAAATATTAAATATTAAATATATTTCCAGTATTTATAATACTTCTAATTTTTCTAGAAGGTGTATCAAAGAATGAATCCTATCAAAAATATACATGTGAAGCTTTAGATTTCAAAGGTGAAGCGGTTGCATTTAAAGCAACATCTTCTGGAATTTTAGAAATCTTAAAACATTGCATTGAAGTATGCCAAAAATTTGAAATTTAATAAAATTTAAAATGTATTAACATATTATTTTTACAGGTTATGAATCAACGAGAAGCTGCATGGGAGTCTATGTTAGAAAAAGAAATAAACAATCGGAAAGATTTGGAGGAAGTAGTACGGACTTTGTCCTTAGTTGATGGGCTCACTGACCAAGAAAGAGCCCAAGTACTCTCTGGGGCCGACTTAACTGTATGTATTATCTTTTTACATTTCTCAATATTTTATGATAAATAATAAAAAAATGTAATTTATTAAAAGATATAATAATATGTGTAGTCATTTAATTACTTAATTTATTATCTGTTTACTAAAGTTTTTTTAAATATAACTGATTCATATAAAAATAAATGTATTGTACAATTGCTTTAATGAATTTGTATTTTAAAAAGGTCATATTTATTGAACTGAACATAGTCCAAATAATGCAATATCAACTTCTGATAAAACATTGTAACAGTAAAAGATAAATACCTTTGAAACATTTTGTCTTTATTTTACATATTTATTAGTTTTTTCTTATAAATAGTTCCTTTCATTAACATCTTTTCACGCACATCCAACGTTATAGATCAAATTTGATCATTTGCATATACTAGTTGCTAGTTTTGTGATATTTCAAAATGACTACTATTTCTAAAAAGGTAATATTTTCTAATTTTTATAAAATTATTTATTGTATTGATTTTACTTCATATGAGTTTTAAATTGTTCTAATAATATGATTTTTCTTTACATTAAGTAATTTATTTTATTGCATTTTTATTGATGAAATAAATGTAACATTGTAATATTTATTGATAATAAAATTAAATTAAAAAAATTAAATATATTTTATTTTTAATATTGAAGTTCTTATTTTCTAACATTAAAAAAAAAAAAAATTATATTATAATGACAAATTAATATTAAAATACATTTAATTTGTATTATTGACATAAGTTATTATATCTCATCTGAATGTAATATTTAAAATGTGAAACATTAAATTTTTATGAATTTTTAAGGAAATTTATAAATTTTTATGAATTTTTAAGGAAATTTATAAATTATTTTTATAATTAAAATAGTTAATTTAGCAATTTAATTTATCTTTATAATGTTGTTACCCATTGGAACTTAAATGAGTATTGAAAATAATTTGTTAAATTCTTATTCTAATTTTCTGAATTGCTATTAAAATTCAATAAAAAAAATCTAATTACGAAGGATTTTTATCTACGTGTGAAATATTGATGTGCAAGTAATTTGTATGAAATGAAAAAACTATGTCTTTCTTGAATTTAAACTTTTTTTAGTAAATTATACTGTTAATTATTTGTGTTTTGTATAGTTATTAATTTTAGTAAATACCAATTGTATATTTCATAGTGCAATGTATAATTTAATATTTAAGTATTTTTTTTAAAAAATAAAGTATTTCGTTTAATGTAGTTTTTCACTTTTACTATAAAATATCTAAAGAGTATCAATCTGGTGTGAAGAATACTAATTCAAAGCAGTATTATTTGAAATTACGTGTAAATTGGATAAAGCATTTTTTTTTTTTTTTTTTTTTTTTTTTTTATAATTGGAAGAATTGGTGAAAATACCATGTCCATATAATTTATTATTTCTTAATTTTAATTGAAAATGTTTTCGTAAAAATATATCAGTTATTTTTAAATTATTATTAAAATTATATTTATATTATACTGGATTTATTAAATCAATAAAAATGTTAATGATAATTTATACTTCAGTGCAGTCATAACTAATGTAATATATGCAACATTTGACCTTTATAAAAACATAAATAATGCATAACAATTCTTTTTTTTTTTTAAATAATTCATTAATATTCAATGGTTATATTTATTTATAAATATTTTGTTCTCAACTATTATTATTAACCAAAAATTTAAAATAATTTCTATATTTTATATTTAAATTTATACTGGTATATTATTTTAATTATAAATTAACTGAATAAAATGTATTTTTTTACTTATGAATATATTGTTAAATTGTAGGAACATTCCAACTTGGCTGAAGATGAGTTTTATGATGCTGTTGAATCTTCCAATGATAATTCAGTCGAGGATGCTAAACAAAGAAAGGATCAGTTACTACAGTGTACAAAAAATAATGCTCAAACTTCTCAGACCAATTGGGGTGAATTGATAAGAGCTGCTGCCACAAATGCTTCTTTGAAACATATATATTGGCCAGAAGTAATATAATTATTGTATTTTATTTTTAAAATTAAATTTTAATTGATAAATTTGCATCTGGTTATGATTTAATCATTTTTTGAAATATAATCAATACAAAGGTAATTTAAAATTTTTGTTAAGATTGAAAGAGTAGTTGCTGAACAAATTCGATCAGCTCGCATGGGTCTTGGTAAAGGAGCTTGGCAGTTATTTGTTGAAGATGGTGAAATGAAAATGTATCGAAGAGAAGTCGAAGAAGATGGATTAGTTGTTGATCCTCTTAAAGCAACTCATCAAGTGAAAGGCATAACTGGTCGAGAATTATGCCATTACTTTTTTTATCCTGAATATAGATATGATTGGGAAGGTAGAGAAATTATATTGAAAATTATTTAATTGATTTTTTTCATTTTGTTGTTTCATTTTTTTAGGTACATTAGAAACTATGAATGTTGTTGATAAGATTGCTGAAGACACAATATTATTCCATCAGATACATAAACGTATCTGGCCAGCAGCACAACGTGATGCTACGTTTTGGTCTCATCTTACACATGTTCCTGACGAAGAAGAAAAGTCTGAAGACAGCCCACATATATGGGCAACTGTCAATAATTCAGTGGAATTACCATCACATCCTGTATGTAATTGAACTTTGAAAGTATTTCTTGTGCACAACTATTAGTAAAGTTCATTACAATAAAGTAAAATATTATCATAAAGTAAATACAATTTTAATGAAATTTGAAATGTCTATTTTTCATTATAATGTTTTATGAAACATTTATTTGATTATGTAATGTTTCAGTCCTATCAGGTCTTATGTTTATATTTATTAGGGTTTTATAATTCACTGGAAATTCTTAAAATAAAGTAATTTAATAAAATACTATACATTTTAATATTTATTTTTAGCCAAATAGTGGAAAACAAGTTCGTATTTATTTGACTATTATTCTCATGGGTCAGACAATTATATCTCCTGCAGCAAAAGGCCGTGAATTGAAACGAGATGATATAACTTGTAAAATTACTTATTGCGCTGTTGGTAAGAACATATTTTTAATTATTTTTTATACCTTAGCTATTATATTCTAGCTATTATATTCTATAATAGAAATGTAATACTTTTTTGTGTTTTTTTATCGTATTATTTTATAATAATTATAATATTTATACTTATTTTATTGAACTATATTCATTTGATACTTTTTCTTGTTTTCAGTCAATCCTGGTGGTTGGGCGCCATCGTCTGTTCTCCGGGCTGTGTATAAACGAGAGTATCCAAAATTTTTGAAACGATTTACTGCTTATGTATTAGAAAAAACGAAAAACCTACCTATAAAACTTTAAACAATCATATCAAATGACTATTATGTTGCAAATTAATTTTATTGATTATTTTGTTGTGTTTTATTCAATGTCAATAATTTTTCCGTTCTTGCTTTCACAGTGTTACATTGTATTTGTAATTTATAATATTATAATTGTACATCCTGAAAACATTAAAAATTAAAATTCCAATGTATATTAAATTATTGTTTTACTGTTAAATTTTTATAAGAATATTTTGTGGCTTCCACAATCTGCCATAAAAAAAACAAAAATTAGGTTAGTGGAATTTAATTTTACTATTGAAAATATCATATAAACTGTAATTTGATTTTTAATATTTAAACTAAGAAATATTTATGTAAACATACATTTATTCATGTATACATTTTTTGTTGTGTGTATATATAAATAAATAAATAAATAAATATATATATATATATATATATATATATATATATATGCACACAACTTCATTGTAATCCCGTTTCACTCGATTTTGTTATTTACTAATGTTCATGGTGTTTGTTACCATAGAAACACGTTTGTACATTGCAATTTATTGTTTTTGGATTAGATAGGACTGAATATTGTTTTTAGCTTATTTTATTTTATTTTTTGTTGTTCATTTTTACATTTATAACGTCATATATATTATAATACGCGTAAAAGTATTTTTTATATATTATTTATTGGTTTTTATTAGAAATTAATAAAATTGTTCTTTTAATAAAAAAAAAAATTGCTGAAATTATTGTATTTCGGAATGTGATATGATGTGAAATGCATTCAATAATAAAAACACGCAATACATGATCGAAACATTTTTTAAGTGTAATATTATTTTCTCTGTCCGCCATTTCTACTATTATTCCTCATGGATTTTACAGCAGTCTCCTCGGAACAGAACGGTTGGGCGGTGGAGTACATTAGTTGCTACGACAACGCCAAATAACAGTTATTCCAATTTCACTAGTTCAACCGTCCAACATGTCTAATAAATTAGATTCGGTTACTTCGGATTTGTTCAATGATCAAGTCACTTTGGGTCTGTTGAACGCGCTCGGTAAGTACCCAATACGCGTATTGTTTCTATACCCGGAAACAGGGATCGAGGGGTATCTTGTACACGCACACAAACGGCTCCAGTTCTTCGGGCGGAGCGAGAGCGTTCTCGCGGGGTACCATGGTAATTTCTTTTAACGGATTTTGTTTTCGTGTTGGACTAATATTTAGTAATATTCGAGGTTCATAACTTCTAGCGTTTGTGTATATTTTTTTTAGAGATCCTTGAGGTATCTATATGAGCTATACATTTGTTTTAGAAAACTGAGAAGGTAAATACGAAATTTTATGGACAATTTTTTCTGCATTTTTCGAAGTTTAAGTAATATTGTTTTATTTTTTTTTTTTGTACCCTGGCGTTTTTTCTTGATAATAAAATAGATTTAATCGTATTTTGAATACCACGAAACTATCAACACCGAGAGTAATGATAGGAATAGGTATTTTTTAATTAAAACCAAAAATCATAACCGTCTAAAAACAATAAAAATACACTTAAAACTAAAATAAAAACACATTATACTTCTGTATTTTACTGGTACTATGTACAGTCCACATAACTTTTTTTATCCGGTCATGATTTTGTTGGTGGCACAGTCCGACAGAGAGGGGGGGTAGTACCTACACGGCCGCTCCCGTAAACACGTCTACATATATATTTTTAATGCATATTTAAGCGCTTATATGTGTTTATTGAAACATTTTATAACACTTATCACAATTTTTTTTTTAGAACTACAAATTATGAGCCCTGGTAATAATCAAATCGATGAATATATATCAATATTTGTTCGACTTGTTTACACGTTTGTTTGTTTTTGTTTGTTCTACACGTCACTTATAATTGGTTATATGTTATAATTTATTGTATATTGTTTTTATACTAGAAGGAGGTATGGTAGCTCAGTCCCCATGCCTCATTTTTAATAAACTGTCATATTCTTCTCTCCCCTTATAAAATATCCTGAGAACGACTTTTGGGCGGAGTACAAATCCCTTTCATCCCGTGTAGACAAATCGACGACTGGTCTGAAATATGTTATCGCAAACGTGATGTAACACGAACCTAACATTTAGTACGTTGCGATCGATATCTGATTCGTTTTAAGATCCGCTTTCACTGCCATTCCAACTGCCCTTCAGTCACAACCCACCTGGTTACTGTATACTAATTATACCTATAGGTATGTGCATTCGATTTCAGTGTATCGTCAAAATTCGAATCTCAACCACTCGTACATATCAATATTTTACATACAAATCAATATAGGTACTCGGGGGCAGATCAAAGTATGAACCGGAGGGAGGGAGAAAAGAGTAGATTAAAAAAATGTACTTTAAATACATAAAAGCGTAGGCATCTATGGTTAGAGTTGCACGACGAATAGTGAATCAAATACTCAGTATGCATTGATGAATGATTTTAAAATGATAATAATAACTAGAAAAATTTGAAAATATACTTACTGCATCGTATAAGTACCTAGGCAAAAGTACAAAGCATTGAATTTAAATAGTCGAAAGAAGTGCATAGCAAAATAGCTAATTCATTTGAACATTGATTTGTTTTCATAATTCTAAAATTCTAGATGATCTTGAAAATATGTTTACTGGATCGTAATTTTCTCGTTCAAACTTTAAAGCAACCGTTATGTTTTATACATTTAATAAATTAAGCACATATATAAATAATCAAGATCTTTGAAATGTATCAAGTACGTAAGGAAATGGGAGTTTAGCTGCAATACAATATAAAAATGGTTTTAAATCAAAAAATATTCTTTGACTACGATTTTTGACTTACCATAACATTTTTTTAAATTAAAAAAAACATATAAATGTAAATATATTATATAATATTGAACTTAAATTAATAAACACATGTTCATTTAACTCAATACCTTTCTGTAAACTATGTTGCTAGTGACATCGGTTGCAAGGAATATTATCAAGATTATTTTTAGACCTGTCTCTAGAAAATGCTACATAACATAGTACAGAAACAATGTACTACGAAGATCGATGCTTATTTTTTTTTGTGTTCGACTTTTACCTTTATTAATTGTCAATGCAAAATATATATTTTCTGGAAATTGTAATCGTTTTAACATGAGGCGATATTAATGGGATTCTAAGAATAAAGAATTTTTCTCCCGTCAAGACAGTTGCTTAAGTGACATAGTTATGTAGATTGTTAATTCATATCCTATTTTAAAGACGAAAATATTCACATATTCACTAGATATTAAATTCAAACGGACCGAACTATGTAAATTGTAAAATGTAAATTGTAATGAACATTAGGATCGTAACAAGAAGAAAAATTATCTTTATTAATCCTGGTATTTTTTGAGTTTATCCCGGATATATTAAAAAGGTTTACTTTTTATATAAATATATATATAAGGATATCGTTGACAGTAAATGCTAGGATTGGGATACATTTTAAGTTATTATGTCTCCTAGATCCTGGGTAGAATGGTACGCTCTTTTTTATTTTTCCAATTGGAATATTGGGACGTAACCGGTAACAATAGGTGAGACGAACCGTGACGAATGCTCGAACCATACCGGATGATTATGTTTTAATACCGTATTTATATTATACTGTTCCGTGGTCCGAGCACCATATCTGTTTATAATTCAATACAATATTTTTATTCATATTACCGGTCACGGTACTGATCCGGATGTTTAAAAGGCATACGGTTATTGATATACGGCAGGACTGTAACGAACCGATCCTAATGAGTAACGACAAACGAACATTTAGAAGAACCCCTTGATATGTATATATATATATTTTTTTTTCACGAATGAAAACCTGAACTAAATCTCCATGATTTTTATTCAATATATTGTTGAATAATTTTGGACACTAAATGATCACCGGTGCGCGTGCCCTGGCCCATAATTACCGTTTGAGTCCATTTCCGTTTTATTAACTTGTCGTGTCACGTGTCTGAGCAGAAAACACGGCGGGAGTGTGCGACCTGACGGTGAAGCGGAGTTTGCCGTGTGACAAGACCAAAATCGGCCTGTGGGAACAGCGGAACGCGTGTATGCTGCCGGACGACGTCAGATCGTTTTACGCGTCGTGCGACGGATTCAAACTGACGTGGTCGTACAAAATCGAAGGCAAGTTTGTACGGTTGTACTTACGTTATGACTTATGTTACTTATGTCGTACTTATGTTAACATCGCGTCGCGTGATGCCGTATCTCCCTCGCGTCCCGACCAAGGCGTTTCTGATGGACATTTAATAAGTTAGATTATAACTTTTTTATAAATACGTTACTCGTATATCCACTCCTTTCAGCCTAATTTTGCGATGGAGTAGAGAAGTACGTTCAGATTGATTTACAAGACATAAAATAAAAAATATTTATCTAATTACTATTACATAATTGTATTACAATGAATTAGATTGACGTAAACAAAAGAACATAATTAGGTAAAATTTAATAATATTTAAAAACGAAATGACTGATTACGGTACTATGATTTTGAGTAATTTAATTAATTAGTGTATAAAACTAGCAATGGACAAATAAGATAATAAACAAATAAAACAAAAAATACGCAAACTCTTACTAGGAAGTTGATGATTCCGAAAAAAAAAACTATTGTATAACCATAGTAATTACAATTGTAATTCAAAATTTATGAAAGGGACAAGCACTTAGGATATCACTGGTGTAATTAAACTCCGTCCCAACTAGAAATGTGTAAACAATTAAATAATTAACTGAAATTAAAATAAATTATACATTTCTTGTGAATATCGAAATACTCGGCACCTACTACATTTTTATTTTTTTTTTACGGTTAATAGCGAAGTTGCAAAGTTTTGTTACCATCACATTCCAAACTATAACACGCATTTGAATCAGTCTATAAAAATTTCTTGAATACAACGCTCCCATTTCGATTTATATGCTAATAATTATAAGTTATACATAGCTACACACCGGTCTACAGTGTTTTAAAACTTTTACACTCAATGGACAAGTCTTAAGAGATTATTTACTTGTTATTCAGTTATTATATATAGTTAGCTACAGGGGCGTCATTTCAATTTTTGAAAGGGTGGGGAAAATTATTAAATTTGCCGACTTCATAATATTTAAAAAATTATGGTTACCTATATATTTAAATATTTAATATTTATGGACGATTGATTATCAATAAAATATTTTTTTCGGAACAAAACATGTAAGGATTAGTAATGAATAATGATGTCATGATGATAAACAAAGAACATGAAACGTTTCAATTTACCCAATCAAATAATAACATTAACAGGTTAAGTGCCAAGACAAAAAATTCAGTTTTGAATATAGTGCCACGTAGAGGTTATTGACCCTTCGATGTGACTTGTAAATAACACCACGTAGGGTTTTGAAGCTCGTAATGCAGTACTTGTTTTTGTCGCCACGTAGGGTCTCCAAAACCTTCATTTTACATGTTTTCTTAAGGAATTCAAATAGAACGTGGCCCATAGGATAAGTTTGTAAAATGGTTCATTGAACTACCATGGCGTTTTAATTATATAGCCAAGTTATAGTTTATATCAAGAAAATTGTATACGAGTAATTTTCATACGATTATTACTATTATATTATGTAAATATTCGTTAACACTTACAAATTTAATATAATATTATGATTTTTACTCTGTACTCATTTCTGTTTAAACGTTTATGCGTGTATCGAATATGTTTGGATAACATTGAACATGGGTAAACATAGTGCAAAAATACATAAAGTGTTTAGAGAGTATAGTGAAAAAAAACGTAATAAAACCATAATTAAAACGTCGTGTATCACTGCAATTGGACAACAGTAAAAAATGCAACCCGTCAACTAAACCACATTTTAGATTATTGTAAATGCCCTAAAAACATTAAAGATGACTTTAAATCTGATGCAAGTATGTGGCATAAATTTTAGTTTTATTTTATGATTTTATCACAAGGTAACTTAAAAACGGTTTTAAATCCATGGATACTCACTTTCTTATTGCTAGTTGTAGTTTTTTAACAACCTACTAAGTAGTAAAATATAGGTACAAAATTATTATTTATCCGTGAATTTAAAATCTTTTTAACGCCACTTTACACATAGTAATCATGGTCATATATGGTGACCAGATATCCAGATATTTAATGTAATAATTATTTATGGAAAAATAGAGTAGATAAATAGAAAAATAGAACTACTACCTATATGGTAGATATATATAGTAAGTTCCTATTATTTACAATAATTATTTATCAACCCTTATTGTTTTTGAAACTTAACATAATGAAATTTCATAGTGTTAAATCTTAACATGTAACTTTCTTGACTAACACAATTTAACTAATAATAAACATTAAAAATTAAAAATTAAACAAAATAAAATTAATTTAATGACTAATGAGTCTTATTAATTTTTTCTACCTAAAAATGTGAAATATACATAAAGTTAAAAATATATTAAGGAAAAACAATTTTTTTTAAAATACGGAAATATTTTACAATCTTATATTTCATGAAATTTTCAAATATTAATTATACTACGTTTCAGTTTCAAATAAAAATCAATTAATATCTTTTGTGTTATATGTTGACGACCATTGGAATGTAAATTTTTGTATATGAAAAAGCACTAATAATAAACTTAAAATTCTTACTTTTAATAAAAATTATAATTCTCAAAATAACTTAGGTATATCAATAACGATGATACAAGATCAATTTATTTGTTTTCATGAAGGTGTGTAATTATGGTGACGGTTACATAACTGTTATTTTAAGAAAGAACGGACATGTTTAACGAGATCGGAAGAATCTTTCAAGACTATTATTTCAATGTATATAATTTTCTTTACTGTTTTTGTGTATTATTATAGGCGTTGAAAACGTCTGCAGAGCTTTCAATTTTCCACGAAATTCTTGAAAAATTCCAAAACCCTTACTTATAGTATCGTCCACCGTTCAATTACTTTTATCCCAAAAGATAATTTTATCAGCCATTCAAAGTTCTCGTTACACTCGTAAGTGCTATACAATAAAGAAATCGAAATGATAAACACAAAGGTAAGCGGTAATTGAAATTAAAATATGACTCTCTAGGTATAACATTTTTGTCTCACCTGTACCCAACCGAAAGTTTGGTTTTCGACCACGGTCGAAGCGTTGGAATGTCACATTTATCCGTCTAGCGGGCGGTAAGATGGGAATCCCATTGTGACGGCCGGTAAAGTAGAAATCCCAAAAAGTATGTGGAGGAAGGGAAAGTGGAAATCCCTATAACACCGTGTAGTAAAGTGGACATTTCCAAGAGCACTGGCCCAGCACAATCAGAAACTTAAATGTATACCACGGTCCTTACAAAACATAAACTTTCGGTTAAATCTTATTACACATATCACAACCTCCTTGCGCGACGCTCAATTGCTGAAACATATTTCGTTTTTATTGTTCCCACACAAGTGCGTTGGACGTTACGGATAAATTTGTTTTGCGCGATTTATAAAATAATTCGAATTAGAAAATAAGATCGTTCGCGCAAGTGTCACGTCGCCGTTCAAATTATATCATTTCGTGTTAACCGGAGCACCCGACAACGGTGTCGGCGTGTGTTCGAGAATTTTCGATCGGCGCGTTATCGCAGTATCACAGGTTCGTGGACGCCATTATTGCCGGGACATTTTTCTGCCGACACTTTCTCCGCGAACATTCGACTCGTCGTTTTTCCCGTGCCGCCGGCCGTGTGTTTTTGTGGTTGCGGTATAGCACGGTGGAGTCGCCATCTCCGTGGACAACTTCGTGTGTCTGACGACTGTTCGAACCGTAGCTGACCCGTGTCTGCGAAATTTTCTTTCGTTTATCGTCGTGCGCGGAGAAGCAAGTTATTGTAAATCGAGATCGACGCCGTTGATCAACCGATTCTTCTGCCGGTTTTGGCATTCGTCGCACGTGTGAACACGGTCGCGTGGGCATAATCACTCGAACGCCAGACCGTCCAAGGTATCTTCCGTTATATTTGTTAAAAATATTATATTTATTTATATACGATTTGTCTTGTTATATTATTACAACGCGTTTGGATCATAGGTGATTTTATTGTTATTTTTAGATTTATCATATTTATTATTAATTTTTTTGTTAATATTACTGTAGCGCTTTTGCTCCGTTTATCCCGGCATTTGTTATAATTTCATTAATTATCCTTATTAAGTGTTCTTTTTTATTGCAAACGACGTGAGTACGTCACACAATCGAACCAGTGATGGTTTCACTTCGAAGCGCGCAAACAAGCATAAATACGAAAGATGACAATCAGTACAGTAGTTGTAGTGAACCATTAACTTCACCATGTATGGTTAAAACGGCAAATGTTGTTTCACTAAATCTATTGCTTGAAAAATCAAAGGAAAAATATATAATGGCTTATGAAAAACTTTTAAAATTGAGAAAAATAAATAAAACCAAATCGTTGTCGGAAAATGTGTTTCTTAGCAATTTTAATAAATTATCTACAGAAATTAAACCGTCAACTCTATGGTCTGTTTCAATGCTATTCAATGCTTAAAAACATGAAAAATATGAAACATAATATTAACGTTGATACTTATTTAAAATTACAAGTTTTTTTAAAAAGAAAATCGAGTGGATTAAAAGTAAAAATTCCAAAGTTTTGACTTCGATATAAAAACTTCATTGACGAAACTCCTGATATTCAATATTTAGTAAAAATATAGGTGAGATAAAATTGTTTTGTATATATTGGCTATTCATTCTCTGTTCATTTATGACGATATATGTAATATTCATTAGTGAAATATATATTATACATTAAACTTCTCAACTCAAAAGCAAATTGTTCACGATCATTTAATATTAAAGGGGAATTATATGATATTCTTAAGAAATACATGGATTTATCCACAAATGTAACGTCAGATAGATTTTTTTTTAGTTATAAAAATGGTTAATGTATCAAGCAGGTTGTTGGAAAAAACAAAATTGAAAATATACCTAAAGAAATTGCAATACCTATATTTAAATTTACTGTATTCCCGAGTTGATACAGGTCGTTTTTTTCGGCCGAACTTCAACAACATTACTTACCGATTCTGCTGGTTATGTTACAACTAGTGATAAGAATAATCAAATGAAATAATCGAATGATTTTAATAATCGAAATAATGGTAACAGACATATTTACCAAAAGCAAATCAATTAGATTATTCGAAAAATTGCGTGTTTTACTCATATCCCATTGGGTAATAAATTAAGAAGTCGACTGTCCGTCATTATTGTATTATAATTGCTAAAAATAATAAAATTACTGAATTTAACTGAAACTATAGGTACCTATTTGGTAAGGAGCCCAGGTCTTATAATTTTTGAGAGGGCCTACCGGGATTTTCCCGGTATTTATTATTTTCTACCTAGATTTTTCTTAGCTCTTTATATTTGCCCTGCCTAAAATTTTCAAATAAAAACCAATAATTATTTGTTCAATGAGCAGAATTCTTTCGAAGACCGTACGTTGTCAGGGCATAACACAATTGCACACTTTTTACCTTTTTGTATTCAAGTAAATAAAACACGATTGTGCACAAACAAAATATATATTTAATAAATACATAATTTATATTTTTGGATTTAAAAAAAACTATATAATTGTCCTATAATGTAAAATATTTCATAATAACAATAATAATAATGATATCTATATAAGTTCATAAATACATATTTACATTAAAAACATTATAGGACAAATGTTAATCACTCTAACAACATAAAATATTTGTGTGCAATCCTGTTGTATTTGCTTAAATATAAACAGGTAAAAAGTGCGTAATCGTATAGCACTGCGGACATTCGGTTCTGTACTCCGGAGCAGTCAACTTGCACCCATCACACCTTTTTTATAGCCCATTTGCGCCTGATATATTTTTTTATAAAAACCGTAAAACGTTGCCTTACTGTATTATTTCATGATTGCGCACTCGTATAATTTATCAATTTCACTATTTTAAGTTTTTACGTTACATCCTTTTCAATATTATTGAATATCAGTCCATTTTATCTTAATTTTAGTTCATGACAGTTCTCACTTCTTTCTGTGAACCTTATAGCGAAGCTAGTACCAACTATTTATTTTATAGTGTTACACTTATAATTCAAAATGGATTTTAAAATAACAAATACTACTAAAAACTATGGGTGTTTAATTTTTTGTAACTTAAAATTCCATTTTAGTAGAAATTTTGTTTTGGAAGATTTAAGTTGGGGTAGCAGTAAAATAAATCATTAAAAATAAATACTAATCGATATGAAAGACATACACAATAATTAGCCCAATAATATTGAAGATTTAAACTTGCTGGAAGTTAGAGAAAATCCATAATATGAAATGACAACATTGTATGTGAAATGAGTGCATTATAAATCGACAGGCAGTTCCTTAGCTTTCGGCCGTAATTGTTCAGATCCCTCGAAGTGCAAATGGGCTGTACCCATGTACTTTTGTAAAGATTCAGGTTTCAAAGCTCTCAAAAATTAATTGAATTTTTTATTTAATAAAATATTAAATTAAAATTAAGAAAATCCTTATTAATTTCATACGCCACATGTACACTCAAAACTAATCAAATTCAATACAGTTTTGTTGAGAGAATTTATTACGATTTCGAATAAGTTGGATGAATAAATTTCACTTGACATTTTTCTCGATTTCGTGAAAAATTATTAGAAGGAATGAAAATAACTGTAAGTAAATAAAATTGTTCTTATAAATTCATATAACAATATGTTACTGAAATGTATTATTAGTTAGAGAAGTATCTTCGTTATATTTGTTGAGGTATTAAAAATATTGAAATTCAACAGTTTGGGGTGTTCGGGTTCCCTTATAACTATTACGGTTATAATGATATGTTTATCGGTGAATTTGCCTAAAATATCGTTGCGGCATTAATTTATCCCAAGCTTATTTTAAATAAATACCGTAATGTTTGTAGCGTATACGTGCGTATTTGTTTAACACTAATTGCGTTTCCACTGTTTATGAATATTACAGTACTGTACGAACTGCAAACAATAAAATTAAATGTATATAGTACATTGAGTTACGGATACAGATATTTACAGGTATAAAAGTGTAAATTGATCGATAACCATTAAAAGCAAACGCTCCATAAAAATAAAAAAAAAGTCGTAAGACTAAATTGCAGATTGTATTTACATTTTTGACGCCACGACCGGGCACCGTTCTTCAAACGTCCTTCCAAAAAAATAACTGCGGTAACGGGGCATTTGCTGATAAACACAAATATTTACAATACAGACGTATTTGTGTTTTTATAAATTATTATCAAATAAAAAAAAAATAAAAAAATACTATCGCCAAGGTGCGTGCATTATTCACACGAAAAATGAAGTTTCACAAACGGAGATCAAACCGTCCACCTTCCCTAAAAAAAAAAAAAAACAAAAATCACGCTAGTTAACTGTCTGTACGCGCGTCCGGCAGGTGTGACGACGGCCGATAGGGCGAGCGGCAGCGAGGCGCGGCCGGCTCTGGCCATCGGTAATATCACGGTGAACCCACTGGCCGAGCTGGTACGGCTGTGCGACGTCAAATCGGATTCAGTCAACATGAACGTGATGCGTGACCTGCAGATGCTGGACCGGCTGTCCGACGACGGAACGCCCAGCTTCGCGGAGAACTCGAAAATATTCGAACTGGACTCCAGCCTGGACGTGGGCCACGTGTGCCTGGTGTACGTGGACGAAAACCGCGGAGAGGCCGCGGATCCGTCGCCGTCGTCGTCGTCGGCCGTTCGCGACCGATCATTGGACTCGTATCTGCACGAGGAGCCGAGCTGCGCGTCCATCTGGCTGCTGGACACCACGTATCGCTGGCACTTGTTGGCGCCGAACTTCAGCAACTACTTCCGGAAGGCGCTAGTGCACATGGGCCTGCCGCACTGGCAGCTCAGATTCACCGATATGGGACTGACGTCTACCGGAGAGGTGAGCGCACCGCAGCTGGTAATAGGTTAGTTTGGCGGGCCGGTACTCTGCGAGTCGGTTCCTCGCACGACCCCCAAGCACTCGATGACCATCGTATTCGCGTGTGTTCGCCCCGAGTACCTGATGATTTGACCTTGCTGACAGGAGGGCAGTGCTCTATATTAATTATTCAATTACATTATAGGTTGTATAAATATATTATTTTGGTTAGTAGTCAGTTCAATAAGTTTTGACGATGAGGGTATTTTTGTTTCTGTACAGGTATATTATTAGTTCAAACACAAGCGATAATTGAAATTTCATAGGATATCTGTATTTTAAAAATATAATAATTGTACAAGAGAAGAATAAAAAACACATTGTTTACAATTTATACACGAAAATCGATCGTTTAGCCCTTTGGAGTACCATTTTTCTTTTAGGTGGAGTTAATACTTACTATTAATAAACCATCATGACTCGTTGTCATTGCGGTATCTCGCGGGGCGCGCAATGTGTGAAGCTGGACAACACAAGAACATCGTGCGTGGCACACGGCTCATGCAATGTTTATACGTAGTTTATTATAAAATGTTAAATTATATTTTGTCAAAACTACGGGGGAAAAATTCAACCCGCAGGAGGGTCAGCTGTCCACCCTGCTTCCCCACATATGTACGCTTATGCTACTCGTACACTGGCCGTTCGTCAAACGCGATTATTAATAATTTTTTCGGCTCGTGTTACGTTTACCGACCACCGATGGAGGTCCATGAGTGAATCAGCGAGTAAAAAACGATTACACAAACAAACATTAATAAGTTTAATATGAATGCGTATCTAATCTTACTGACTTACCGCAGTATCGACTTGATCGTTCAGTGAAAATGAAGTTATCGTTTTTTTTTAAATTTTCAGTTTTTTATGAATCTGGTGGCCCCACACCTGAACGTGACCGAAAAAGTTCCAGCTATAGGCCAATTAGACGATGACGAGTCGCTTTCCGCGGACACCGTGCAACTGAACCACTTCGATCCTAGCATTTTAAAAACTACATTCAAAGTTTCTAAAAGCAAAAAAAATGGCAATCCGAAAGTGTCTAGCTGAATTGAATAGCAATCATCATCATTTTAAAGTAATTCTCATCATGAATTTACAATGTACTACGTGTAATTATTATAGAATTATGATGTATTTCGAATTCCTGGCTGAAAATTAACGTTATTAATTAGTTATTAACGTTTGATTTTACTATAATTTATCGATTTAATTCCATGAAAACTAAATTATCCCTATACATATTATTTACAATAAATAATTTTGTTTGGAAATTATCAATGCATGTTAAGTACTCCAATTAGAATCCTTTACATTCTATTTATATCTACCTAATCTTAAAATCCTAGAATGGTAAATGTTAATTTATAGTTCACTGTAGGTAACGATGCGTAAAATGTACGGGCATTTGTTTTTTATCATGGTATGACAATGTGCTCGTATTTATAAAAAATATTTAACTAATTGTGTAAACCTTTTTTATTACTTATTGTGCAGCACTGAAGATCACATAGACATCTAAAACCTTATTTTTAACCAATGACCAATAAAACAAATATAATATAATTTAAATTTGTTTTTTTACTAATTTTTACAAGTTGATTATGTGATACATATTCTGGATCCTCATCACTATGATCATCCTGTTAATACTCTTTCACATAATTTCTTTAACACTCAATTTGAAAAAGTTTATTACAATTATGAATAACAGTTGAACTATCAGCCATTAATTATTACTAAGAAACTTTATAAACTTTAGTGTTGGTAACTATGCGCAAAATATACGTATTCCATTTTTTGTTCGTATAATATACATGCGTATATTCAGTGCCGTAAAAACCGGACGTGCAGAGGGTTCATGGCACATAGGCTCCAGGCCTCAAATTATGTATTATGGAGCCTCAAAAGGTCAAATATTCAAAAACGTTTGATGATTAGGGGGCTCAAGATTTTTATTCGCACACTGGTTTCGAATGGTCTAGTTATGGCACTAAAAAAATGTAATAAAATAATTAAATAAAATAAAAATTAAAAACTAGTAAATGGTTGACACTCGTAAATTAATATATTAATAATATTTATAATAAATCATATATATATATATATATATATATATTAATATACTAAATTAACATATATAAATAAATAACAGTTTGTACATATAAATAAATAAATGCTTACCTTGGTGTATAATTATATTTGTAAAGGACGACCGATTCGAATTAAAAATTTATCGTCATGTTAATACTTATATATATTTGCTATAAAATACTATATCAAGATGAGTAGAGGTTTAGGACAAGGGTGATCGACCCCAAATAGTTAGAAGAAAGGCGAAGGAGAAGAAAATCTTTAAATACTATATATATTTTTAATTGGTAGCATACTAAATAATAGTTGTGATAATAATTATAATCAAATCATAGATCACATACAGAAATATTTTAATAATCGAGTATAGAACTGAACATACAGTTGTGTAACAATATGCTAACTATCACACTATGAAATATTCTGTGATTATCACTTACATTTAAACGGTGGAATTTTTTTTTTTTTTGAGATAATATAAAATATAAATATTTAACGGTGAACTCATGATGTCTTGTTATTTATTTAGTACATTTTATAATTATAACTTTTAAGCGTGGTGTGTATATTTAGTATTACCTAATTGTTTGGTGACCGATATACTGAAATTTCTTTAGCTAAGATTTCGTTTCGACTAGGAAAGTTTATGATAAACGTTGTACTTCTTTTTTTCATAAATTGCTCAAATTACGATCAAATCTTCATTGCACTTTTTATATAACTAGTGTTTGAAACGTTCACTTAAAAATTGAACTCGTTCACGTTTACGGTCAGTGCATAAAAAATAACTTATTTACGTTTATGTTCATTTATTTAGAAGTGAACACTTTCACGTCCAAGTATATAAAAAAATGAACGGGTTCATTTGACCGTTTAATTATTTATTTTATTTTATGAATCATCAGGTCAGATTCGGTATAAATGGGATCTTTGTAAAATGTATTAAGTATACTTTACATTATTTTTAAAATGGCAAATAAATTCGAGTGCCCCAAAAATCGTTCAGATATATTGAAATCAAAAAAATCGTTCACGTTCACGATCGGTTTGAAAAAAGATAGTGAAGTTCGTGTGTCGTTCACAAAATATAAACGTGAACGAACGCTCACGAATGGTGTTCTTTCCAATTACTGTATTTCATTCATAAAAAATCCTATTCACCCCTCCCCACCAATACAAAGCTGTAGATCCGACCCTATTATAAGTGTATATTGTTTTGTTTATTTACAGTATTTTTAATTATAGCTCATTAAATAAAAAACATTTTCATTTTGTTACTGCTTCATTACTTAGAATCAATATCATTTTAAATATACTAATATACAACAATAGTTTTATTTTATAGAATTATGTATACATTTTATTTGCAAAGTATTTGTTTTTCTTAATTCATCGCATTCTAATTCAAATTCTTGCCATTTGTAGATAACATTGGAAATTTTAAAAATCAAATTTAGTTATGGTGTAATGTAAAAAATATAGACCTCAGACTATATGACCTGAATAAAACAGGAAACAATTATACAACTCTTTTTATTGAATAAAATTATTATTATATTGAATTTATTTACATAAAAAAGTTCTAATTTTTTTTTTATCAATATTATTAAAGAACTAAAAGTTAAATATAATGAATACAATATAAAGCATAAAGTATTTTGTCATTTAGAATGATCAGTAGGTACACATAGAGATAATAACCAAAATGTGTGTCTAAAATTATTATAATTTTATAATATTTCAGCTTCTACTCTTCAACATTCTTAATATTTCGTCAACCATTTCTTTTTTTGTCATTCCATTTTTCTCGGCTTTTCTCTTAACTTCCTCAACCATCGAATTGATTAATTTTTTGCTGTTTACTTTCAAAAATTTAGGATTATTTTTTGATTTAATTCTGTATTTTTTCGATTGATCCCCGACGAATTTATTCAATTGAATTGTATTTGTCACTTCTTTATACTCGATCTGCTTGTCCGGGTGTACAACGATGACTCCCAATGTCTGACGTCTGTTTGGAACTTTCTTATGTAGTCGCACGTTCTTATCTAAATCGGGTACAGTTTTCAAATATTCTTCGTTTTTCTGAGTCACCTGATCTAGATCCTCGTCGTCATCTTCATCAATATCATCGGCATTTTTGGAAATGACCGATTTCGGCATAAATTTTTCATCGTTCATCATGTTTCTAATCGCTTCAATTATGCCCGCGGCATCCCTCAATGTTTCGGCTCTGGGATGTTTATCACTCATTATCACCCTGCCTGAATTCAGTGTGTTCAGCGTGTCCATACCACTGCCTACTGTTGACATAGTGGTCAGTACAAAACAGTCTATATTGCTGGTTGCTGTTTCCATATGCATGGACAGTTCGATGAGTTTTTTTTCAGCTTTGATCTGTTTTTGTTTTAAAGATTTCTCATTGATAGGCTTGTTAAATATATTGTTTACTAACTCATCAACGTTGAATTCTGGAGATATTAGATGGAGAATAGGTTCAGAAGAATCTGGTACGGTTGGTGGGCTTTTGAGAATGTTAGCCAACATATTATATGTTGACTGTGGGCCTTGCTGATATAATTTTTTACGTTTTTCTAATTCTACTTTGAAATGTTTAGCCAACGGATACATCTTCTTTACCAAATCATTGACTGTATGTTTCAAATTAGTTTTTAGAATGTAACTGACAGTTCTTAAGCTCTGATTTATATCATTAGAAGTCTTGGATTTTCGTATGTTAACAATAGCGTTCTTTATTGTAAATATCATATTACTTCTCAACTCACTTGTATCCAGGACGCTTCGATAAGCAATTTGTTTAGCATCATCCGAAGAAACTTTTTTGAATTTATCGTATGCATTGCGTTTGCACTGGTCAGAATTGTGTTCTTCAAACTGTAAAAAGAAAAATTAAATAATCAGATTTTAAATGAATTGGTTAAATTAAATAGTTATGGTCATTTGAAAATTACCAAAAATGAAGAATAATCACTGTCATCTACATCAGAATCGGAATCACTGGGACGCGATACATCATAGTTGGTTTTGTCATTAGTTAATTTTGATTCAACATTTTGAGTTTCTGGTAATCCGTTATCAGCAGAAAAAGTATTATCGTCCAATGGTATTTTCTCGTTAGTTGTCGGGTTTACAATAAATCTTCTTAAACGTTTCACTCGTCTTTTATTTCTTGGTTTTTTTATATGATTCTGTGGCTGTTTCTTAGATTTTTCAGGTGACGAACGGTTATCATTATTATTATGGTTCTCATGGTGAGAATTTTGATGATTATTTTCTTCGGTTGTCGTTCTCCTCTTATTAGTACGTGTTGTTCTTACTTTCTTCCTTCTAACATGTTTCTTTTTCTTTGGTTTTTTACCTTTAATTGTACTATAAGGATTATTTGAAGGTTCTGCAATTCTGTTTTCTTCATTATTTTCAATGCTGTTTACTGGTGTGCGTTGAGTTCCAGGAAATTCAGATAACTCATCATTATTGAATTCCTTTGGATTTCCTTTTTGTATTACGATGTTTGACAGAGGAGATTCAATTAGATTATTATTATAGTCAATATTAATAGGAGATTTCTTATCAGGTTTTCTCGCCCTCCTATGGCGTCTACCTTTATGTGGTCTATTGGTAGGAATATTTCCATGGTCATCAGCATTATCAAGGGCTTCCTGATCATCTGATTCGTCTTGAGGGTCAATATCAGTTTCAGGATCAGACGGTTCAGCTTCATTTGCCTTTGGCACATTTTCTTTCAATGAACCATCAGCATTTGGAATTGATTTATCATTAGCTACGGGATTTTCCGACGGATTAGAATCGGGAACATGTTCATCGTTCGACGAATTCGGTTCGTTGGGGTTGATCTCACTATTCTTGGGTTTTCTCGGCCTTCTACGGCGTCTACCTTTATGTGGTCCATTGGTAGGATCATTTTCTTGGTCATCAGCATTATCAGGGGCATCCTGATCAT